TGAAACAGCTACCGAAATTATTACTTCTAAGACAGTGCCGTAGCCAATGTATGCCCAAACTTAAGGGAGAACGTTTTAACAATAGGAGATTTGACAGTCATGCCCAAACCAGGACTTAGATCCAACACACACCCTCGAGAAAGTCTTTCAACTATTTACATTTTTGCAAAGCGTAACGTAAAATGTAATTGACAATCACGTGAACAGTAGCGTGTTAAGTGCAACACAGAGCTTCGCCGGCCTACTAGTAATTATTAAAAGGAATAATGATGCAAATTAGCAATAAGCATGAAATATTTGTTTGATGTGTACATCGTCAAAGAATAAAACTTAGTACCTTCATTCTGATATCCGAGAGAGAGCCGTTCTACGTTTTTACTTCTAACAGCGGTCGGCGCGGGTCCATTCACAGACGAGAAGTGGTACGCGACGGAGAGGTAACCCTAAGTAAATGTTCCACATCTTTTTAAATGAGTAATAAAAGAAGAGATTCATGTACAACTGCGCATCGTAAAGTAAAACTGTGAAGTTTGCTTACCATTACACGCATTGTACACTTTTGGTTAAAGGTTTGTGTGAGATAAACGAATCACTAAAACGTTCTTTTTTGTTTGTACCGTGACCAAACCACCACAGAGGTCACCTACTGATTTTGGAAAGCTTGTATTTAAAAATATAAAATTTATGTCGGGTTCGAAACTTACATTTTGTTTAAATTTAATGTAAATAAATCAATTTAAATTTATAAAATATTCATTTTCAATACTATTATATGAAGTCCTATTTACCCTGACCAACAATGCCATTGACGACTTTCTGTTCTTCACATTCTATAGATATACCTACGTATTTGGCAACCTTGTGCACTTTAATTTAAACTTGCAACTTATACAAAATTTATCTATATTATTTTATTGTTATAATGATAGCTGATGTACCTGACAAAACACGCATCATCTGTGAAACGTTTTGCAATCTAATGAAAAAAATATAATACAAATTTGACAGTATATAATCAAAAGACACTACAACCCCTAAAATTTAGACACACGAACACAAAAATAATTCACTGAAATAATTTTCATGTGTGGCGCTATACTTGTATGATTTCATCTAAAATGTAATTTCTAGAAATTCATGCGGCCTATTTGAAACTATGGAACTTACTGTTCATTTCATGCTTTAAAAAATAAGATTAAAATAATAAAGGAAATTAAAAAATAAAATGATTGTATGTCACACATACTCCTTGAGTTGTACAAACATAAACATTTTCAAAAGTATTGACTAAACTCCTTTACGAAATCGTAATCCTTTATATTTAAAATAATGTGTGTTATACATTTTTCTGTTTTGCACGTTTTACATTCATTGAAAATAGTTGTTCACAAACATTTTCTACTGGTTTCATATAATCTTGATGAAAAAGTATTGAATAATTCAGACTCGTAGGTAACGATGGAATCATAGTTAAGAAAGTAGTGGTTCAATAATATTTTGTGTTATTCCTTACAATGAAAAGGCATATCTGCTTTATTTTATTCTTCAGTGTCACCTAGGAAATGAACAATGAATCAAAATGAGACAGAACAAAGGATATGTAGCAAACTCATAAGTGAGTATTCTCAAACTCGACGCTTTTTGATATTAAATTATTGATAGAATGGAGTTCCGAAGATATTGACACCATACGTTTAAAAAAACAAATTCTGAGTCTGTATACCTCGTTTGACCTCTCCACCTTCCAAATAAACTGCAATCGGTATGTTATGAGAATGAAATTGAATTTGCAACTCTATATTAAGACAACTTTCTCTTGATTCCAGAAGATACGTTAATGTTGTTGTTGAATATGACGTAGCATCCATTACTTTCGATGTTTAATTAATCACCAGGCCATCAGGAGACTTCATTCTGCGCTCTCATCGCCTATCTACACCCGACGTGTTTGCTTCACTCCCTTGCTGGGCCGCCAGTGAAGTAGGGAGGGCGACTACCTATCTCACCTACAAGCCAGTCACTTGCGCCTCGTCGCGACGGCGATCGCGCCCTGCCGCTCTCCATGCCACTTCTTGTCCCACCACTGCACGCGCGATCACACATGCTGGCAAAAACGAGAGAGTGGGGGCTGCGAAGCGGGATGGGCGGGGCGGGGCGGGGCGGGCGGGGCCGGGGGGTTCGGCTTGTGACACCTTGGCGAGACGTAGGACTTCAGTGAAGACATTCACAAGATGAACCATATTCGGCGGCCGGCCGGAAAGCTGGCGAAGAGATTGTGTAGAATGGTATTTCATCCCCCATCTCCTCCCGAAGGCCCGCGTGACCTTGTGCCTCTCGCATTACACGGGAACCGCCGTTCGGTGACAGCAACTCACTTCCGTGCATGGGGGAAGCGCCACCGCCACGTCAAGACGTGTTTATCGCCCGACTTCTTGTCCCACCACTGCCCTCGGCTGGGCGCGCTCGCTGCCCAGGAGCGTAGGCGTGCGGCGGGGGGGCCGACACGCGACCCCATTGCGAGGTGCAGCGTCTTCAGTGGCGAAATCAACAAGAGCGCACCCTCCAGCGCACAATTTTGAAAACGGAGAGCAGAAAGCACGTGGAACACGCTTTCATCCCTCCCTACACTCTTCAGCAACAGACGTGTTTCCTTCTCTCCCTCATATCGCACACGCCATCGAAGATCCACGCCGACCACTATCAACATGCTCACCTATAAGCTGGGCGCCCCCGCACGGCGCCTGCGCGAAGCGGGCGGCCAGCCCCAACGGGCTCGCGACCCCATCTGCGCGCCCGTACATTTCATTGGCATGCCAGTGGAGGCGGCCCGTCGCCCGGGCGAAGACGGCGCGCCCCGCGGGCGGCCGCCCCCGCGCCCCACGGCTACGCAGTGGCTGGAATTGGGCGGGCTTCTTAGCAGTCGGCGCTTGTTTGCTCGCCGCCGTGGAAACGGACAAGCGACGGTCGTCGGTGCGTCGGCACCAGCATGAGTACGGGGCCGTGGCTGTGTGTGGATTCTACTGATATTAATCATATGGAGATCTCTGATCCAAACATGAAGTTTTATTAAATTGTGTTCAGAATTTAGAAGTAAATTGTAAGGAAAATTATGTATTTGGAAGAAAGTAATTGAGTAAAAGCTACAGGAGCTTCCGGTGCAGCATTTACGCAAATGTCTCTTACTTTTTACGTAAAATAATTCCGTTTTGCTCTTTTTTATTTTTAAAATATTGTCCTGCTCATTGATCAAAAACTTTCTTTTAATTTTCATAGTATACAATATACTTTAGCCGTCGAAAAATGTTCTATCAAACAAACAAGTAGGTAAGTTTTCTCTAATGCCAACTGTAAAGAAGGAAAAACAAATGATTCCATTATTCACAGCAAGGATTTCCCATTCGTTTGTTCACATGAAGAATGATATGCTAGAGAATCATCAAAAAGCTTTTTTAAGTGGAATTGTATTTTCTTCATATTGCTACACACATATTTCTGGTTGTATAAACACACATATGTCTGGTCTGGTTGTATAAATTGAAAAATCTTAAGTCACGAAGTGAAAGCAACAATTCAGCATTTTAATGATTAGCTTCCAATCACGTGGAGTGAAGTGAGGAATTACCAAACTGGACGGGGAGGGAGAGGGCGTGGCCTGGCGTGATGATGCAAGTCGGGCAGGGTATGGCGGGGCCGGGCAGAGGGCGCCTGGGCGTGGAAGTACGTGACGGCGGGGCTTGGAGGTCGAATGTGGTGACGGAAGGCGCGCAACGGAGCAGAAGAGAGCGGAGCGGAACGCGGTGGGACAAGGCGGCAGCCGCCGCCGCAGATAAGGCCTCCATTTCCAAGCGAGGGCACGCGGAGCACACAAAACATTTGCGATAACGCTCGCGCTTTTTTAGATATTGTTCGGCCCCGCTGCCACGGCGGCCCATTGTGCGAGAAAATTAGCTTCATAAATATAAGAAATCGCCCTCCGGGAGTTTAATGAGAATCTCGGAGGAACTGGAAAGCAAAATGTTGCAACCGTGACTTGGAAACTCACACACATCCAACAAGATTGTCCTTTTTGTCCATTTTGTTACGCACAGTAACATTTCGACAAATTTGAAATATTTGTGAAAATCAGTTTATCTAATGACCCTTAGAAAACTTAATTAAGTGAAGAAATGTCTCTAAAATTTATCAATATATCAATGATTTTCTATCAAAATAAAAACTACGCATTATTAAAGATAAAAAATATTAAATAATATAAAACTGCTTTTTATCTTAGTTTACAATTTTGAAGCTTTTTTTGAATATTTTATTTATAACACTATCATTTTTTAAAATTGCCATACACATTAACTGACACTCATTTTAATATAAAAGAATACATTTATTTCTACAAGTAAAGGAGAGATTTTGGAAAAAATATAACTATGAAAATTAAGTGGTTTAATAGGTTGTGCAACAAGCATAATACATGTCCTAAATCATGTCAGAAATGACACGAGAATAATGGATACCAGCTAGTATAAGTTTGTAATGTGACATTTCCCACAACTCGTAGGGCATGATAAGCTCTAAGATGCTCTAAGATGCCACACCAAAATCCCTAATTGACTCGTAGAGCATATCACAAGTGCCCACGTATTTTACTGGCATGTAAAATATAGTTTTCATTGTTGAACCCATCCGGCCTTAATTCTATTTTTAAATAATGTTGACGTAATAATGTTATAGATATCATATATTCGGCGTTTTACTGATTTGAAATATCAAGTGTTCTTCGGGTGTACGTATACTCTTGTAGCTGACAAGTGATTTTAAAACAATGAGTGATTTGTAAGATTCATAAATACAGCATCTATTAAAATGCACTACTTTGAAGAGTATTAGAAATTTAGCAAATAAAACCACTTCAGAAATTAGTAAATTGTCGGTTTTTTTACTTGCAAACGTATGCCTATGAAATTCCAAAAAGCCTTATTTATGGCATTTATTTTTTTCTTTTATTTCAATAAAATATTTCATTATATATATATATATATATATATATATATATATATATATATATATATATAAACTATTGATTCTATGTAAACGGTTATTGAAAGCAATTATATTGTAATGAATCAATTATTGGTTCACGAAAATAAATGTTTGACGATTTAACTGTTATTTGTACAAAATATATTTCTATTACAATTTTGATATCGATGATCTGCAACATTTCATTACTTTCTCTTACACTTCATTTTTAACTTCCCATATACGTCTGTGTACGAGAAAGGAGGAAGTGATGAAATTAACTGTTGTACTCTTTACAGTGCTTCGTGTTATTAGAACAGAAATTTAAAATGCCGTTAAAACACACTATTAGTTTGTACCACACAAAATTTTATTTACAGACACAAGTCAAATTATTTTCCCCATTACTGCACTCTTTAAATAATAATTAATAAATGTGTAAAAATACCACTTTATATTTTATTGTTTAATAAAAATTAAGACCAGCGAATTTAGCTTTGAAGAGTATTGTCATCTTTTGAAACGCGAAACCACCCTTTGTGTCCACTACCTTTTTCCGGGAAAAAAGACACACCGACATATTCTCGTCTATTAGAGGAACAAATGTTTCTTATGTCATTTTGCTTGGACATGCACCTGTTTCTGCAAAGCAGCTTGTTTTCGCTTTCCCTTCTTATACTCGGACGTAGAAATTCGAGAATATTGTGCTTAATGAGTTATAGAGATGATTATTTGAATGATGATGTAAAGTATGGAAAAGTAAAACGTCTACTTTTTTGGATGCAAACGAACAGAAAACCAAAGTTGAGAATGAGCGGAATTGGAGTGCAAACTTTGGCAGACCTGCATCTCGCGCGCCTTGAGGCCGACAGAATCTCTGCACGATTGCCAACCTTCAGAATTACTTCTAGGCTAACCTTCAGAATTGTAGTGCACGCGTTGTTCACAAATAATGCTAATGGCCTTCCGCGTCTACAACTGTGCTCCGACTCTAGGGAATGAGCACAGTTGCTATGGTACAGAGGTCGCTACGAAATTTTAAGAAGGTAAAAAAATCGTTCTTCTATTCGTTATGAGGCCAAATAAATTATTTATTGATAGAATTATAAGTAACACGATAGGGTGTTTTTCACCTAAAGTGTCTCATCTACATACTTTTTCTTTGCATACCTTTTAATTTATGTAAGTAATATTTGCGTACTTTTAAAAATAGAATTTCTAAATAAAAAAATATGCCATTACCAGGATAAAATCATAATTTTCTTATAAGCACAATAGGATAGTATCCTTACATCTACCAGGCTTCCTTATGTAAATTTTACAATTTTATGGGCATATACGAATATAACAAAAAAATACAAAAAAATAAAAAAAACTTTTATGTAAAACTCATTTATTGTATTCTGGAAATAATTACGATAGCCGTATTTGTCTCTAATTAAATCATGTTTATAAATCATTATTTTCCAAATTATAATTAAGATTTAATTAATTTTTTCACAAAAATATGCTTGAAATGTATTACATGGGTAATTGAAGAAGACGCCTCTGTTCATGCTCACGCAGCGATCTCCATTTCGTCTGGGATATCCGCTCCACCATTCATTAAAGGTTATGTCAGTATGCTCTGTTTGGAAAAAAAATAATTACAAAATAAATCCCTTGAAAACATTACATTATTAACCAATTTATGAAAACCTTTCTCGTTCAGCAATCAAAAAATGTAAGACTACATTAGCACATTTCATGTACTGTTGACAAGAACACGTAAACCTAATATCTTTTAATGTGTATATTTTAACATCTTAAAATATTTGTTAATTCGAGGAGATGAGTGTTTACCCGCAGCTCTTTTCACGCAGAATACGTTAACATCTACTCTAAAGAGGAGCGTACTGCTTAGGTAGTAAATGCACTGTCAATTATAGTGTATGAAAAAAACGAAAATACAATTGTATTTTTGAATTTGTATTTGAGACGATCATAGCAGAAGAGAATCAAGACACAGTAACAAACTTGTCATGAAATAACTGTAAAATGTTTATGGACCTTTAAATTTCCGGGAAACGTTTACACTGTTTGGGCGTTTATAAGCGTGTATTACAACAATTGGGAAAGTCGTCTTTTGATCTTTGGAAAGGGATTCATATAGAGATTTTAAATACAAAATATGTTAAAAATGTCAAAGTGCGCTTGACTCCCTTTTGCTCCGATCGCTTCATTCACATCCCGTTTTTTCTGCTCACCCTTTATTCTCAGCTTGCTCTCCGGCTTCGACTACTGCTATAGCTCGACAACTTCGAGGAAAGACCTGGACTACGCATGCACGACAAGTGCAGAGGGGAACGTTCCCTCTCTGCGCGGCCCAACTTCCCCGCCCGAGGAGCCGCCGCCGCCGCCGCCGCCGCAGCCTCGGCGTGGGCGAACGCTAGACAACCTGGCCTTGACGACCGCCCCGAATCCTGAAGTGTGTATCTGCCAAGTCGGACGAATGGCTTTTGGGTGTGAGAAATGCCATGTCGAGAGAATTGATCTACCTTCCCTTCTCCGCATGTGCAATTGCCACACTTGTTTGGAATTTTTCTCGCTCGGAAGAGAGTTTGTGTGCGCTTCCTGCTGTGCGTGGGTGTAGATTTCCGATTAGTTGATTTTCAGCGTGTTCGAGTTTTTATATTTCTGTTAACACGGATTCGACACTACGATCCACGTGTATGTCAGGGCGACCGTTGAGAGACCTGAAGGCTCCGCGTGAAACTACTTTCGACAAATGCAAATCAGTCGCCGTCAAGACCACAGCGTGAGACCACGATGTTGCAAGAGTGAATCAGCTACCGTTGTAGGCGATCCTTGAGTTCAACTGAGCCTCCTCTCGAGAGCAGTGGAAAATGGCTTCGCCACGCCTACCGATGTAAGCGACGCCACGATATTTTTTTCTAAGTTGCCGAGCTATAGTTTACTGTTTGCACGCTGCAGGGCTTCGCTACTTACCTGATATGGATTCAAATGTACCATCCCCATCGATGTCATGGTATCCGACATGGAAGTACGAATCTCCTTCTAGCGCCCCCCGAATCCATGCAGTGAGCTCTTGAGCGGCTTGCAGCGTGTGAGGTGCCGCCAACGTCGCGTTCTCCTTGTGGCACTCGAGGAAGGCTTCGAACCACGTAGCCCTGCTTGTGTGCAGGCGGTAGGTCCCCACTCCAGGGATGGTTTGGTATCCACTGACTGACTCCGCGTTGCCAGGGAAACGGGTTTGCTTGCAGAAGAACGCCGCAGGCTCCTCGCACGGGTGCCTTTCGTACCTTCCTGTCGATTTCAACACGGCGCAGTTGCCTCCCTGTCCATCGTGGTCCTCTTCTGAGCTCCAAGAGTTGTAATAGTCTTGAGACCTTCTCCCTGACAATCAATTGAAAATTAAGGAATGTAAATCACTCAATATACAGCATATCTTTTAAACCCATTCAATAAACTTCAGGAAGAGACTTCGGAATGAAAGGGTGGCTAAAATGGTTCTAGAATTTTACACCCGAAATGCCGTCATTTCTCGGGAAAGTAATTCAAAAGGGATTTTCCAAACCTCTTCAATGACACACTGTGACACTGAAGCCAGTGTTTCTTATCAGAGGAGAACGGTTATGCATTAGAAACACTGTCGTTCAGTAATTCTAATAAAGGTTACTAAACCGTGACAGTAAATTTATTTGTAAAATGCGTTTTTGGACATAATGTTTTTAGAATAATACTGAATTCCACAACTTCAAACTTTCGATTATATTATTATGAGACTTCTCAAGACCTGTATATCGAAGTTTGCTTTAATAACGAAATTCATGAAACCACTACATCTTCATGTTTTCTTACAAGTCTCTGAAACATTAATAGGCTTATCTGACTTAAAAATAATTTTAAAAAATAAGAACACATATAAATAAATTAACACATTTAATTAAAAATATTTAGACTGTGTAAAATAATTTTGTTCGTACCATTTTGGAATGGAGTTCATTATGAATATAATATTAACCTATTATGAATCGTTTCCTTCATCAACAAAATGTTTTTATTACACAGTTTTTCTATTCGACTACGAATAAATATTTTTTCGGTGATTTTCATAAAATAAAAAGGTTTACTACTTCTTGGAATGAGAAAAATAACAATGACTGAAAATTATATTATAGGGCAAATGTTGAATAATAGAATGTCATTTTGATGCCTGGCATTGCAGGAATAAAGTGGTCAATACCATGCATTATGTAATGGGATAATTAAAACCCGTAAACTCGCAAAGTATATTTCTTTAAAAAAGTTATAAAAGGTTACTTACTAACTCCAGTTAAAATAATGGTGTTTAGGTATCCAACACAAACGTATTGCTGTCTGTATTGTCAGTGCATTGGAATTTGTAATTTTCTTAACGGTATTGGTGATTGCTTCTTGTTATAGAGCAAATTTGGAATTATTTACTTGAGTAATATTTTTTAATATTCCTCAAAGTGAAAAATGTTATTATTCACAGTAATATATTGAAGTTATCATGTGAAGAGTGTATCGAAATATAATCTAGGCAGAGTACTTAGAAAATTGTTCCCGTGTATTTAGACAAAATACCAAAAGTATTTTAAATACTTTCTATATTTCGCGTTATAAATAGGTTACAACAGTTATAGTCTTGAGGTTAAAATTTACATCAAACTAGACTTCTGAAAAAGTCACCGTTTCCTAGTATCCTCGTCAAATGCAGGTCTTAAACAGTCACCGACTGTCGAAAATCAAGAAATATTTTGTCTTCGACAAGTAGTCAACTCTGTCTCGTACCTGCAACAGTCTGCCAATCGTTCTCGTTTGCGTAGTCCGCAATTCCGACGAACACACCGTGTTCTCGCACGTGGGCATGTGGGCTGTTGAAGACGTAGGCGCCCGCCAGAAAGCCCGCTTCCAGGGGCGAGGCGGGCGCCACCAGCGTAGCGCCCTCGCCGCGACACACGCCCAGGGCGTCCAGCCAGGGCAGCGGGGCCGGGTGGATGCGATACTGTCCTAAGCCGGGCAGCTGGTCGTAGCCATCCGCCACCACGGGCATCTCGCAAGCAAACGGACGGGTAGCTCCGCAGCTGCTGCGAATGTACAGGCCGTTGGGTACAAGTGCAGCGCAGCTGGGACGACCGGCTACACTGCTGTGGTTGCCCAGCCACACGTCATAGCCTGCAGCGGATGGGGGCTTCCCTAGAAGCAAACGAGAGCCCGTCATGCGAACCGACGAGAAGCATATGAATAGGAGAAAACCAGAACGGTGTAACTGATATTTCATAAATTCTGAGAAATCTGTTTAATGAAGCCAATATCACTGTAAAGTTGTGGTAATTTGCTTCATCATTGAAACCTAAAAATTTAATTGCCATTGACATACTGTCTAAAATAAACACGTTTTTTTGCAATTTATAAAATGTCACTTATACTTTCATGTTCATCCATTTATATATGCTAAAATTTTTAATGTTTGGTTTATTATAGAAGAAAAGCAAACTGGTTATATTTACATATATATGCTTTTCAAAATTTATTGTCCCTTTCCATTAGTATAATTAAGGTGAACCATGTAGATTACTTTTGTTGGCCAGAAAGTAAAATTGATGTTTTTGTTTTTGGAGCTCGCCAATGAGAGGAAATTTCTTTAGGCTATGAATTTTATGTGGAAGTCGGTTTTTAATTGTAAATGGAGTTGAAGTAAAATTATTAAATATTTAATGAAATACTTTTGAGGGTATATATAAGAATTAATGAAATACAAATGTTAAAAGAGAGATACTGATCAAAAATGAGGCGCGTGCACTGTAGCTGAAAGAAGGTAAACTTAAAACGAGCATCGCCCAAGTGAGCAGACCGTCGACTGTTCTAAGATGAATTGTTGGTATTTAAAAAATTTCATAACTGTCGAAGATCAATTTTTGTAATAATAGAAAAACATACTGATTGAATACCTTATAGAACCAGTGAGGATGTGCCCTCAATAGAAATGATTTTTGTTGTGTTTGGTATTTTATATTTACAAACGTGAGACGTAGTTTTGTTTTAGTGATATAATTATTGTTAGTTTTATAATTTGTTATGTTTTTCATAAAGGAATGTAATATTATATATTTTCTATTACATTTTTCTCTTCTCTTCTCTTCATGTCATACACTGATTAGTGTGCAGGTTAGTCTCCAAAAGCTCCTAGCGCCATGTGAGACTTATCCTGAGCAAGAATACCTATGGTGGTTTGCCATTGCTTTCCTTAGAGGCGCTAGTGCTCCAATTTTGTCGTTTGATTGGAATATCAGATAGCGAATGCTAAGATTCATTATCCCCAATCTTATCCAGTAATTCAAATCGAAACTCTGATTGATTCTAAATTGTTAGAGTATTTAATTATCCAGGATTGGGCAAGTGCCTTTCCTGGAATCCGTTTTACATGTTGACGAGCGCATGCATGCCGTCGATTTTTAGCACCTCAAAAATCGCCTGACTTTGAGCGGGATTGATCCTGCGAACTTGGGATCAGTAGCTCGGCATGATAACAGCCGTATCATCAAAGATGGGTTCTATAGCATTGTAATGATTTATTGCCGAACAACGCGGTGGTTGCAATTGTTAAAATAGCTGGCGCGTACAATCTCCGTATTTAGAGTGAAGAAATCTGATAATAATTTACGCGAACCAATATCCGTACGGAACGCTGAAGGAGATACATAGGGGGCAACATCCAGCTGAGGTGTAGATCAGCGCAGCATCTCACGTTCCTGCGAAGGCGGAACACAGTTGCCTCTAGGGGAATAACAAGCACTCACACTATTGAGACTAATGACCTCAGAGGTCTAAAACAATATTTACTCGCATTCAATCTCACTCACTATCACCCACACTCGCTCAGTGGTATTCACTCACTCAGTCTCATTCACTCACTCAGTCTCATTCACTCACTCAGTCTCATTCACTCACTCAGTCAATTCACTCACTCAGTCACTCTCACCCAGTCACTCTCACCCAGTCACTCTCACCCAGTCACTCTCACCCAGTCACTCTCACACCCATACTCTTACTCTCTCTGTCCTACACTCGCTGTCACACTCATTCACTCACTCACTTTCACTCTCATACACAGACACTCCCTCTCACTCCCGCTGTATCTGTGTGCGTGATGGCCTTACCTTGGAGCGTGGCCCAGCGGCCCCCGTCGAGGTCGCTGACGCCGACGTGCAAGGCGGGCGTGTGGGGCGCCGCGGCGCGCAGCAGCTCCCCCAGGGCACGCGCCTCGCGCGGCGAGTGGGGCGCGGCCAGGCGGCCGCCCCGCCGCCAGCACGCGCGCACGGCGTCCAGCCACGGCAGCGCCTCCGCGTGGAAGTGGAAGCCAGGCGCGCCGCCCGCGCTCGCTGCCGCTGCCGCACCGACAAGCACAATGGTCGCTCGGGGAGGGGTGCCACCATTGCAGTCATAATAATAATAGTAATAATAATAATAATAATAATAATAATAATAATAATAATAATAATAATAATAATAATAATAATAATAATAATGCCTTTATTAATGGCGAGGCTCAGGCCAGAGGTCCTGCTCTTCCGTCTAACCACTGAATTTACATACATATAGAGTAGTTACATTTTAAGAGGAGAGGAGGAGCTGAACATTTACGTCTGGGAGAACAAATCTAGGGACCATCCCGGCTTACGCCTTAAGCGATTGAGTAAACCCAGAAAATCTCAATCAGGATGGCGGCTTAGGGTCGAACATCAACAATTTACGGTGAAAAGTGGAAGAGAAGAAAAAATAAGAGGTGCGAGTTGAAATGAAAAGGTCGCCCCCTATCAATTGTTTTCTTACTTTCTCGTATACTACATACGTAGTGTAGAGAAAGATGCGCAATTATGCAGAAAACAGTGGCAGAAAATTGTTCGGCAGAAAAGTCTCATTGCAGGTTTTTGATACCAGAAAAGTCGATAATCATTGTTCTTATCTTCCTCTAACACGATGTATAGATAGATGTCGCGTTTTGCGGGTCCTTGATAACGAAAAACTGGTTCACAGTGTATGTCCGTCCCCCTACCCGACCATCCATCCGTGCGTCCGTCCGTCCGTCTCTCGCTCCCTTTGTCTGCCCGTCCCTCCCTCACTCCGTCACCCCATCCGCCCCTCCGACCATCCGTCCATTCATGAGTCCGTCTGTACGTTTATAAACAACTCTAGTTGCTAAACATATGTAGAAGTTTCACCGACAGTGAGATACCCAATAAATCTGATTGGTGTCGCTTCCTCTTTAATTTGAAACTGATCTTTTAATTTTTGGGGTAATTTACATTAAACTTCAATGACATTTTCAAAGGTTTTTAAACGCTCGAAATTCTTCTATTTTTTATTGAAAAAAATCGAAATACTGAAAATAGATTTATTAAAAATGGACATTTAAAAGAGGCGCATACACAATTTTTCTCGAATTCTCTATTTTTTCGAAAATTGGCAAACAATTTTTTTTCTACAATTATACGATTGAATATTAATTTTCTTCTTCCTCTTCAAAATAAAATATTTCAAAGAGGCTAACTTATTGAATTCAGAAATTTCAGTTGTCAATATGTTAGAGACATTTCGTCATTACAAAACTTACACTCTAAACTATAAGTTTAAGGACCTTTCCATTATCTCAGAATTTTTTACTAATTGAATCAGAAACATACACATGAAGATACCTAGACGACTAGTGTTTATACTCTCCCGATACATATGTCTTACCGAATTAATATTCTAAAACTATGACGTCAGTAGACACGAAAAATGTTGCTCTGCCAGGTTGTTCTTGTCACATTGTAAGAGAAATAATGACGACAAACCCAACTGATCAATATTTGTAGATACTAAATATCTGATTAATGATTGTAAACGTGTTTATAATTGATTGATTGATTACTTTTACCTTTCATTCAAAAACGCAAAGACATATATTTCACGGCATTTATAGCCACATCAGAACACATGAAGTGCAATGTAGTAATTGGTCAAACGATACCAATAATATGTCAAGAGAGTGATAATATTAATTAAGAAGCATATCTAAAATAATTAGTATTAGTTGAATGTTCTTCAAAATAATGTTTAAATGTGCAACTTAGGGTTATTATCTTGACGTAAGTTGTTACCGTTAATGTTCAGTTTGTTAGAACTAACATTACCTACCTGGTTCTTGAGAATTATTTTTAACTGTGAATATGTCTGTACTCATTGGAGGCTCTGCTGTAGTTGGCCCATGAAGTGACTCGTTGAGTTCTCCTGATGAAGTGGAATTCATGTCTAGTGTCCACCCTACGTTGAATGATTGATTTTTAGATTCATCGTGAAATTGAACTTCAGCTTCTAATTGTCCTTTCTGGTTTAATAATTCCTGCAGTTCAAGATGCTCAGATGAATTACGATCTTCCTGAAAGTGAAATCGATATCAAAGTTATACAAAGAAAATTTCATTAGCTTGTGACAGTACATAAAAAATAAATTGCAAAATACAATCAAAGGTATCGATTTTTGTCGTCTCTTACGATACGCATGGCAATACACGCAATTTTTTCAAATGAAAATCACTAACATTTCCGTGAGCCAGTCTCCAAAATGTATGTTGCTACTCGATCCCAAATGAAAAACACAAGTTTCACATGAAAAAAAAACAACCACAAATATTCAGTAAAAAGGATTATATTTGCTATTTATTGCAGAATGTAATGAAATTTTATTAATGATATTATGATTACACTTTAACTATCTTTAACTCAATCATCCTTTCAAACTAAAAATATACTTATTTTCAAAAGTAATTACTTATTATTTGAGTTCTAAAGAACAGTCAGCTCCGATTTCAAAATAAAATGTTATACATGGAAACCACATTTGCGAATGTTGAAGTAATTGCAAAGTAGTTAAAAGACACATTTGTAGCTGTATGTAGGTATTTGCGTTTGCTACTGATTGTTGCAAGCCCTTGTTTTAGACTCAAATATGTTTTCAAACGCTCCAGTAATTCTAAATATACCATCTAAAGAACTGAAACCGCATGCGAGCGAAATTCTCTCCTCGTCAACCAAACTTACTTCGAGTTCTAACATCGAAACCTGCGTAGGGACGGCCGGCGAGGCTTGCGGTGTGGAACTCTTTTGCGATGCTGCAGCTAGCAGCAACAGTCCTAAAAGAACAACTCCTCCGTCCATAATGCAAGAGAAGCTCTGCAGCTCCGAATTGCAACTGCTCACTCCGCCTTATCGGCGAGCTTATATGGATGACTGTTCTCGACCCCTTCTCTCCCTCCCTCCCTCCCTCCCACCGAGAGAGATGGCTCAGGGCATCAACTGATGTCACTGCAGTCTCTCTGACCGGAAGGGTAAAGGTTAGACTCTAGACGGTGGTAGGAGTTTCGACACTAGCTTGTCAGCTAAGTCGAATTCAGTCGCTGTCTGAAGGAGAATTCTAGCGGCTAGCTGCTCTGATCGGTAGTTTTCCGTGGTTTCCCTGATCAACACCAGGCGAATGCCGGAGCAGTACCCTAACAAACGGGCCGCGGACCGCGCGCGATCTGCCTGTCCTATTTTTTGTCCTATCTTCACCCCTTACTTACACATACTTACATTAACATGCACTACATTACCACACGTTCCGGGAAACCGTTTGGGAGCTTAGAATTTGTCCCAGATGGGGCGGTGCCCCTCTGATAGGAGATACGTGGTTGTGGAAAACGTGGTCGCTAGCTCGATCGGCTTCAGATACCGCCCGGGGGAAGACTACCGCCAACTCCTGAGGAAAAATGCACTACACTTACGGGACTAATTACCTAGTAGTTGAGGTGCTGCGAATCACTTCTTCTCTTCCCTCCTCAACCGCAAATTCAGTCCTTCACTTTTTGTGTTTGTTTTTGCAAGAATTATTACAAAACTAGAAAACTGAAATATTAAAAGGTATTTTACTAAAACAATACACTAATAGATTTCAGTACTTTCATCGATCTTAATGCTACATTTAGCGATTCATCATATGAGCGTCTGTTAGTTTAATGGAAATATCGTAAGAAAACATGCAATATCCTAGTGTAAAAATAGGAAATAAAAAGAGTTCAGCAGCCTGTATTTGTTATTACAATGTAGGATAACATATTCTCTTATATTTTATTACTTGTATTTATTTGCAGTTTGGAATGCTACCACGGTTGTGAAGATTTATGTAATATTTTCTGTTAGAAATACTCTGTGTATAGTTACTTCATAATTACAAATCGTAGATATTTTATTCAAATCCAAAAAGATAATGCGTTTCTAAAATTTTGTCTCTAACCTCTCATCACTATAAACTAGGCATGGTATTTCCGTCTGCCAGTATTCAAAATGTCAGTATGTTGCTGCTCGATCCCAAATGTCATGAACCCTTCTTTGTAAATACATTTACTAAAACCATTAAGTATTATAATTATGCCAGCTAACTCAACAAACACAGCGCACTACATTATGACAGTGTCCTTACAGCATTATTTGGCTATGTTACCACTTTTGCAAAACGTCCTGCTGTACTGTTAATGTTGGAATATGAGTGCACAATGTAGCAAAGAGAAATGGTGGGGGTTGAATTTCATAGGATTTTATGGATTGCGTAGATTAACTATCAATGATCAATATTTTAGAACATTTTAGGCTGCATTAAATCTGTGGGTAAATCTGGTTATTCATGTTTCGAAAATATCTTGCAATAACACTTTTTCTTACGATTTCTTAAACCAACCACGTAAGTATTGACCGTAAAATCGGAAATTCATACGTAATCCTCCGGAAAAGATAAACATGTTCGGGCATCATGCCAGTTGCCCCCAACACTGGATACTGGTAGAGAAATGGGATTCACTAATGTTATCGCTTTCCTTGCACATACGTCGCATAAAACACTAAAGATAATGATTCAGCTCTTTAATTATCTAATACTTTTTATGAAAAATTGAAAGTGCTGCATCGAAGGTCGAAAACGACAGTCATCCATACGTAAATTCGTATTTACAGAAAATTAACTAGAAAATGGAGAAAAATAAATATCAAATAAGGCTAAATATAATGAATGATATAAAGAATATATAAAAACTAATTTTACTTTTAAATAAATGGAAGTCAGATAATGTAGTATAAACAAATTGAAACCAATTAATATATGACTAGATACTACGTCAAAATCGCATCCCAGTAATTTCCCTTTCGTAACACCTTCGACTCTCATCCTAAAGAAAAATAGACATTTTATAAATCTCTGCGCAACAACTTGTGTATCAACTCTGAACCTCCACATCTGAGCGATAATCAATCATATGTAGTGTGTAATGTTGTGTTAAAAATACTTCAAGACATTTTTTAACGTCAAATAATTTGAAGTAATTACAATTTTCTAAATGCACAGCTTTTTGGAATTGTAACAGAAAAATAATTTTATCATTGTGACGCATCTTTCAGGAAAACATGTCACAATAGTAATATGCGACTTGTATAGGTAACGAGCTAATAAAACAGTATTTGTTCCATTATGCAATAAGAGCTACCTGTTTATACTGAAAACATTCGCAATTATTAAATCTAAATAATCTAATATTTTTTACGGTTGTCTCAGTTCTTATTTTTATCTCAGAGATTTTTATTATATAAATGTGTGGTCTTGGAAATTATCGTCATAAGCTTGGAGCTTATCGCAATACCTTCACACCGCTTAGCTACCACTTCTATTCTCCTCTGTTGTCAGCGTAACAATACCTCACTAGTGTCCCATGCTTACGTGACGCAGCACAGATCAAACTGTAATACCCTTGATTGTATGGCAAATTTTCATTTGTTACCCACTATCATCACTCCTGTTTTTGCAATTCGTTTCTTTGTTGACTTTAAAATACATTTTATTAGTGTTTTAAATCTTAATTACGACCACACGTTGCTTAAAATATACTCAAGTTCTTTCTTTTCTTTTCTTTCTTTTCTTTCTTTCTTTTCTTTCTTTCTTTTCTTTCTTTCTTTTCTTTCTTTTCTTTCTTTTCTTTCTTTTCTTTCTTTTCTTTCTTTTCTTTCTTTTCTTTCTTTCCTGCTTCCTACACCGTCCTTAATACGGTTCTCTATTTTCCGTATTAATTTCGGTCTTGTTCTTTGAATCTTATAAATATTTCCTCATGCTAAGAATAAGATGAGCATGACTCATCTCAGTAAACATAGCTTTGCTCTCGCGTATATACTGCTTGAGTTTTATAACGGCTTATTGTCAAAGGCCACGCCAGATAAAACCGTTTAGTTCATTGCGTATTGATCTCTTCGCTAAGAATAAGGCCTTGCTCTAAGACCTCAGGCCAAGAGTGTTTCACTTTATTAAGCGCGCTGTTTTGCTTCCTCTGAGCACAAGCGGTTTCAAGCACTATGACCTTTCTGTCATTTGTGGGGAAGAACGTATTTCTTGAATAATCAGACACAAACCAAAGTATAAATAAAAAGGCTCTAGATATTCTGGGTGAAAAGAACAAATAGAAATGAAAAATATCAAGTTTTTAAATGTTTAAGAGTATATAAAACATAATTTTCAAGCGAATGGAAAAAATGATGAAAAAAACCGTAATTATATTTATTATTTGGGAGTAAGTCATTAAAAAAAATAAACTGTTGAAATAAATAATTGACGTAATTTAAAAATTGTTTATATATAGTCAAGTAAATTCAATTCTATCTCTCTCCTTACAGTATTCATTGCATTGAGCCTAACGGAATAAGACTATAAAAATGTCTCCAAACATATTGCCCATTTTCGTGTAAAAAAACGAGAGGCTATCATAACTTCATAAGATTTTGTTTTATTAAATGCAGAATAATTTCCATTACACTATATATTCTCTGTTACCTACGAAGTACACATCTTCAGTACGTATGTAGTGAATCTATTTATTTTCTGCATAACTTATTTTTTCTGCATTTTTCATATTTTTTGAGATAGCACATTTGAGACATACAAAAATACAGTATTTTGTGATTTCATTGCTAAGAATTCAAATTTTTCATCAAAATTAGCTATTATTATTATTATTATTATTACTATTACTATTACTATTATTATTATTGCTATTATTATTATTATTATTATTATTATTATTATTATTATTATTATTATTATTTTTAAAATCATTTTCATCAACAATACATTAAAAATCTTTGCTCTATTTAGAAAAATAACTTAAAGAAAAACTTTTTATACAATGAAATTGGGGAGAAGAGAAGTTGGGGCCTGGAAATGTGGAGTTATTAGTTTTTTCTTAACGTGAAATATATTCCATTTGCAAGGAATTTAGTATGGTTAGAGCAATTTACAATCTTATTCTGTTGTAACCTTCAAGTAATTAAAATTATGCTTTTTCTAAAGTTATCAATTTGACCATTCATACACATCTCATTCGCAGAATATGGTTCCTTCTAAATTTCAAATTTTATTTCTAAGCGCCAGTAGATGAATAAGCGGACATATGCTATATGAATGGATGAAATTCTCCACATACTTTCTTGTAATGACCGTAAAGGATTTCATCTCTTTTTCGTATGACTGTTTTAAGGGGATTGTCGTAATTTGAAAGACAACATTAAAAATGTTTCTAAATGAGCCCCCAAAAAGATTCCTACGTAAAAAATGCAGCAAATGGTCAAAGTGGAAAATCATATCGACGAAAATAAAATATTTTCTTCAAATTGTACTTTGTCGAGATTGTTTCAGGGGCAAGAGTTTTAAGATTTACTTTGTGAGTTTAATAAATGTGTCCCAATTACATTCCATACATTTAATTCTGCATAATTTACGTTCTTTATAAATAATCTATCAAAATGTGTGCTTTGTATATTCGTAAAATTAAGACTTCAATCTTTAAACCATAACAAATACCGTTGTAATTTGTGTGTTCTTTGACCAGTAAATTCCTTTTCACGTACGGCTTCGCAGACTCTACTGTGTTGCTGAGAGGCTTACCAACCTTCTCCAGGCAACCTTCTCCAAGGCCTCTGCCATCGTCTAGGGGGAAGAAAGGGAGGGAAGAGAGGCTGCAAAAGGAATCCGAAATCACGTAATCGAATGCATTTAGAGATCAGCTGTTAACCGTCTCGACAGAGGCGCGTTCTCCAGCCTAATACTTTCGAGAAATTCGTCTTTCAAATACTGATTCAATTATTTTCTCAATATCGGAGACCCCCCCCCCTTCGAGAAGGGACTCCT